ACCAATGTTCGTTATAAATTATTTTTGTTTTTAACCTGATCAAAATACTGAAAGCAAAACCAGAATATTTACGACTATATAATATACATGTCAATAATATATTGATACATTTATTATTTAAGTATTCGGTATTCCCTCCTTTTGAGAATGGTTTCATATGCGTAGGTTTCATATATGTAGGTACGTCGCATAGGCCGTACTTATATGATGTTCAGTGTTGGTCATGAAAATGTATACAGTTTTATAGGTACACAAAATATGTAATTTAATAATAACTATAATGCAATAATTTATGTCTATTATAATATTTTTACCCAAATAAAATAAAATGTGGGCATGGTGTGGTGCAATAGTCTGTTTAGGTGATACTTAGCACCTGAAGTTAAGCTGCGTACTACTTGACTCCGGATGGGTGACTAACCAGGGTTTTTAGCGACGATTCGTGCATTGTATCATACTGTCTGTGTTTAATGAGTGCTACTACCAGTGTCGTGTTTAGGGGGGGGGGAGGTTGATCGCTAAAGGGGACGATCGCAGCAACAGATTTTTACATAGCCCATATTCTGTTAATGAACCAATTATAGAGATGTATCTAACACTACAAACTTAAAGATTTGAAGACATATACCCTTATGTAAATATTGCTCTGAGAATGTGATGTACTATGTTGTCCTGTATCAAACTGCTCTTCAGAGTGATCATTTTGAGCATTAAAAGTTACTTGCGGTCGAGAATAACCGATGAACGACTAAGTATCACTATAATAAGTATCACTAGAGTAAGATGACATAATCAATGAGTTGTAAATATTTATTGTTTTGTAATTTGTGGATAATAAATAAACCTACTTTATATTTGTGACTATAGATTCCAATATAGAAGAGTAATTTTATCTAACGACTAAACATTTTTTAATGGAAATTTTTGATTAAATAGTCAATGTCAACTGGTTCCACCAGAGATTACAAAAAGTGAATACATTAAAAACAAAAATGTAACAAGTAAGTTAAAAACCGCCAGAAAAGATGACGATAACGTACAGGCCGTTATTACGGGTGGTCACCAGAAGGTAAGCTCCGGAGCGCTCGGTAGGTAGAAAAAGTCAAATAATTTTTGTGGGGGGGGGGGCATAAAAACATTAGTACCCGGGCGCCAAATTTCTGATAACGTCTCTGGCTACTACACAACCTAGAAACACCAAAACCCAAAGTAAAAATACATTTATTATTTTTTTAAATTTTAATTGTTGATAAAAAAATGTCAAGGCTTGATTTTTAATGATTCTACAATTTCTTTCTCATTTTTAACGTACATGCTTCTTGAAGTCAGCCAAAATATCGTAATAGATATGAGTTACGAGAAATTGAATTCTACATGGTTTTTTTTCTTTTCGATCATGCACTTATTTTAACGCCCAAATATTATAAGAAAACCAAATACAATAGGTATTGTAATATTTACACTTTACATGAAACAATGGTTTTTAGTTAACAAAAAATTGATAATTATTAATTACGCTACTGTTTGATGAATTTTTACTTAATTTTTATACGCGCATTTTGAATAAGTTAAAAAACAATATTTGTAGTTAAAAACAATATAAAAAAATCTATTATAAAAAGTAAAATAACCACAGCGTTAATAAATATATGTGATCTGTCTCCCATACACGTGGGTGTTTATAAAATCATATCTCACCCGACAATAAAATTTTAAAAACAGGGAACGTAATTTTTGAAGGCAGTTTTGTACAAATAAATAAAACATAATGTCTGATTATCTAGCGCACGTTGTTAGTGATTGTAGCTACGCCGCTGTAGTAAAGTAAAAACGTGCGACAGACACATCTGGTCATTGTGATTGCTAGTTCTTTGAACTTGTCGCTGTTGCGTTGTTGCTATTGACCAACTGTCTCGTGTGACAAATCACTTTGTGTGGTATATATATATATATATATATATATATATAGTGCCTAGGACCTAGGTGACTGGAGAAATATTGAATATTCATCGGAAACACGATCGTGGCCGCTCTTGCTTCCAGTCATCGACAATGCAGGGTCCACTTATGTTGTTCCCGGAACTAAGACCACTAAATTAGTACCTATACTACATAATATACATCTCTTGACTATTAGCGTCTATTTTAATGGGATTTCTTTCAACTACAATATAATAATAAGAAGTGATCTTCTCCGAATTGCCGTGACATGTGAATGTGATAAAAAAAAAACAATGGAATAGGTTTTAAAAGCAATAATGATTTTAATCGTGTTTAATAGTCGTCGCTCGTCATGACGGAGTACCAAGTCTGAACGGGAACCGAGCCGTAGACCCAGTGATATTTTAAACTTTTTACTATTTCAGACGCTTCATATTAAATTATTGTAATATTTTTAACATTAACCGCATGCTTGTGGATTTTTTTGACATTTAAAAATGGAAAACACTTATATTTCACAGTCTAGAAGTGTCTTATTCAGTAACCACTAACCACGAATATTGTTGCTTTATCAGCGACTAATACAAATTAACCGTTGACCATTATCAATTATGTAAAATGTTGACCATAACTTGGAGGTACACAGTTAGAAAAAAAATTATAATAAATAGACACAGGCCAACTTTTATTAAACGGGTGACAACGAAAGATCCTATACGAATATTGCAACTTTATAAGTAACAATCAGGTGCCATTAGAACTGTGGAGTTTAAAATATACAAATCTCTACAAACCATTTCTGCAAACACCAGTGCTCTGTGCTAGAATGTATCAACATTCAAACTTTCACGGTCGATAAGAAGAACTAAGAAGATTAAATTAACGTAGACAAACTTGTTCATTATAAAAAAGGAACTCTCCTACGCCATAGATAAAACTATCACCAACACCATTTTATTTGATCTGTACTTAAACACGAGTATGATTACAGTATCGCCAAATAGGAGTTTAATTAAGAGGAGAAATATAAATTATGTTAAAATTATTATCCTTGGGAAGGGAGGGGGTAAGTGATTAGTGATTAAACCCTACCACCACTACACATACATTAATCAGTATTAAAATATTAGAAATGTAATTTTTTCGTTTTTTACATTAAGGACTATGACGTATGGTAGTATATTTTTCAACTTAAAATTACAGCGCTCCATAACTTTTTTAAAAATAGTCCAATTAGTTCCAAATTTGTGTAGAATATTTTTAAAACATAGTACTACCGATAAACGTTGACAATCCAAACAAATATAAATCCTTTCCCCTAGAAGGAGTCGGAACTTTTTCTTTATTTTGCTTTTCCATACAGTTTTAAGGGTTTAGGTTTGAAAATTAGATCGACGGTGCTAGAATGGAGCTATAACATATACAATTTTCTCAAAATTATAATACGTTTGAGCTTATCGACGGTCGTTGGTTGAAAACGCTTTAATAGTCTTAAACGGAATTAGAATTGATATTTGTATCGAGAGTATATACTTACTACATTTTTAGTTATGGCTGGTTATAGAACATCGATTTAAAATTTCTTTGAGCTATGACTTCATAACCTTTGAAATCAAACACTCTTTTATTTATATACGCATTACACAAATTTGATTTTTAACTAAACACGTGCCAGTTAGTAAAGTAAATAAAAGAATAATCACGGTAAACAGCCCACATTCTACACGTGTTAGACAATTTATATTTTTGGTAATAGTTTTTTTTACACAGCTATTGGAATTATTGTGATATAGATAGTAACAGTATTTTATATCATGGTTGGTACTAGGTAGATGATATATCAACATTTAAATTACAATTTTGTTTATTTACCATCAAACATGTCTTACTGAAATATTAAATTTTATGTATAGTCCCAGCAATTTTTTCCACGATACGATAGTTTTTTCTTGTCTTACTTAGTTTTTGAGTTATACTCGAAACATAAAATGTGAAATTGCGACCGTTTCAAAAATGGACTTATTTGACCATTTTAAATATACTTTTTGAGACAACAGCTCATAGGGGATGTATGAATATCCTCTATATCCCCCCTGTAAATACGCTCCGAAATTCGGCAACCTATAGGCTCAAAATTAAATATTTCTTTTATAATTCAAACGAACTATTTACAAACGGACAGCTTTTTTTTTGTTTTTGAGATTCTGCATATATACAATATATCTCGACAATTACATAAAATTAAACAATATAAGAGTGGCTAATAGATATACACAAAATTAAAACAAAGGACAACTTATTACATAACATTTTATACGTTTCTGTAACCTTTTATCTTTACGATACCTATTTTTTTTTTAAACTACATTTAATTAATAATACACGTGATATTTGGCATATACTACAAACTAACTCTGTACATTTCCTAAACAAAACATCTTGCTTTTTTTTTACTTCAGAGATTCTTTAGACATAATGTAATATTTTTGAAGTGACATTAGGATATCCGTCCGGATTAGGCTATTAGTTACGAGTACGTAAGGATTACACATTTAAAAGGTATTAGATGATTCAGCCGTTTATCTAGTATTTTGCTATAGTATCGCGAGTACTCATTTGCGGTTTATGCTACAACGTTGTTTACTCTCTCGAGGCGATCGTCATCATTTATTGCCGTGGCCTGTATAAATATAAAAGTTTCCTATGATTAATATTCTGCCATATCAATGAGTGATGTCATGTCGATAAGAATAATTGTGATGCACAACTTACACCTCGACATCGTTTTAATTTATTGCAATGTGTTATTACAATTATTATTGTTCACCGCCCCCCTAAAAAAAAAAACCCCCCATCGAATGACATGTACCGCCAGAGGAGTCTCGTGTGTCGTGGTCAGCCAAGAGAAACCGTCGGGAGACCACCGGCCGCGCTGAAAATTGAACCTTGTCTAGGTGTCAGACACGTGGTGTGCGCCGGTTACGCATGCGCGGTGCGCCAGCCACATTACGGTGGCGACGGCGAATGCGGCCGGCCGGTACACTGATGTGCCGCGGCGCGCGTGTTTTATAGTGTACAGCGACCGACCTACGATCCACACGCGTTCGCGTCCGATCTTCCGATCCTCGCCGCAGACGTAACCGCGATCCGACGAACTTCGTTTTACCCGCGGATTCGCCTTCACTTGCTCGCTTACAGTTTTTGTTTCAACTCTCGCGGGCACACCATCTGTCTAACGACTCGCGTCTTACGCGTTATTAACGTCGGACGTCCCGTTCGATTCGATTTAATAACTGTCGTTTACCTCGGTGGCGCAAGTGCTGGAGGAGGCGGCGCGGCGTCGGCGATGGTGGCGGCAGCGGCAGCGATGATGTCCCTGCCAGACGACCCGAACCGGCGTTTGCGGCCGACACGTGTTCGGCACGCGGCTTACTGATACGCGTCCGTCGAGGCCGGGCCCGTAACAGCCGTAAATTATTACACCCTGTGATACTACAGAAGGTGACGATTTTACGCATAATAAAATAATAGAAGCGTAGCGCCCACCGATCGATTGATATTCCCGACGGCACGACAACAATCCCCATAGTCATACCGTGCGGCCATGTCGGTACCGTTGCAGTGTACGCTATCGGCCGCCCGATGAGTTGTCGGCCAAAAGTCGCGTGTGTAAAGACGCCGCCGCTGACCTGAGCGCTTGTGAGAAGTATGTGGAAGACACGTAACCGATACAATTGGTCGTGGTCTATACGTATTGTCGTTATTGTAGCCGCCGCAGCCGTCACGGTCGCCATGTCCGAACCACGCGAATCCGTCGGGTCCTCCGCTACTGCCACCGTCACGTCACAACTGGAGAGAGCTCCGTTCATGTCCGTTGCCTTCGGTCAAGACGGTGCAGAACACCAGACGAACACGCCCGGTAAGCACGGTCAAACCCCATATCCTTTCGTTTAAACTATAAGTAAGCTCGGATGAGTAGGCTCACAATTGGTGTTAGGAGACCACTGTGGTTGGGCCGTATACGCCATGCTGAGGGCCTGCAGGCGTGATCTTCGGTGGCGGGTTTGAGGACGCGGCGAATTTGGCACCGACCAAACCTGAATCTCAGAAAATACGAGAGTAGGTTTATGAGTTTAGCATTTCACTATCACTAATAGTCAACGCCACGACCGTCGCCTGTGCCGGACACCGTAAAAGTACTCGGCCGGTGCACAGATGATGTAGGAGGTAACTGTCTCGACATTATTGTCCTATGCGGTGGTACTAATTCGCGGCGTCGACGTTATTGCTCGTTGGTTTACAAACCGAGACTTGAGTTTAAACGACCAACGGCGTTTGATGAAGTCGGCGATTGCAATTTACGATCGAGTTCTAAAACGAAACACCTGTTGACTGCACTCGTTTATCCTGTCTTATTCTTCTCCTTTGAATTTCAATTCGTACAAAACCGGTATTTTCATATTGAGTCGTTAATAAAAATTACATACCGTACGCTAGCTGTAATGATACGTACATGAGAACCTCTGAAAGTTGTACTAATGGGTCTGTTAAAACGGCGTTCTCGTCGTGTATTGACGTAGACATTTTAATATTTTCGTTTATTTTAATATTAATTAATATTTTCGTTGTTCGATTCGGATTCATTTTAACTTGCCTTACCCGATTTACTTTCCCTTTTCGGTGACTGAATATAATTTTATTTCTCGCGCTCGCAGTATACTGTAATACTCTCGGCCAATGATTTATATATGACTAGATAACTCGTTATACATAATATATATATATATTATTATACACGTTCACTTACTATACCCACATATTCGCTCCCCATACCTCTTAAAAAATATGGGCAAAATGTATGAATAAACCTTGTTTAATAACTGTAAGCTAACAAACACGAATGTGATTGCTATAGCGTCCCTAACGTCACTAATAATGGTTTCTTAGTTGTTTTTTTAAAATATAAAAGACACGACATAATGCGTATCATAAAAAATAGACTAAATTAAGTAAAAATTTAAATTTTCCTTCCCCTAATGTTAACAAAAAAGTCTCAGGATTACGCTAGTGTAACAATAATATTTTTAAGGGAGAAAGGGTTATAGCCTGGGGGAATTTAGGGAGTCTATAGACCCCCTAACCAAGATTATTTTCAAAACCATCCAAAAATAAGGTTGAAATTACCCACAAATAATTAAATCACAGTTATATTAATTAAAAAGCCAATATTAAAATGCATATTGTATTATTGACAGTATGTACTATATTCTATGTATCGTCGACGGAATTCAGAATTTTTTTTTTTAAGTTTTTGCAACTTGGGCCATTACCTAAAAATGTTTTTTAACAGTCCAAATATTTTGTTATTATATAATAACTGTATTTCATTGTTACAAATTACAACCAGCTTATTTTTTTCGACTGGTTTTTATTTTTAATATATCAGAAAAACAACAGTTCGAATCTACTACTCTTGGCGATGGGAATCCGAAAATCCGGATTTCCACAAAAAACCCTTTTCTAAGCCACTTATAAATCTTATAAACACCAACATTTTTACATTAGAATGCAGTGTACCTAAGTAAAATGTTTTGATGTAAAAAACGTATAGCCATGACAATCACTTTCGGATTTCAACAAATCCAAAAACAATTTATCTTTTCGGAATTGTGTTTTATTTTTACTTTTCATCAAAATACATATTTATATACTGTATTTAAATTTGTTTAAATGACTGCAATAGCGTTTTTTTTTTATGAATATCCGGATTTTTACATTTCCATCAGTACATCCGTATGCAATTGAATACTACAATAACATTTTCGGTTCAAACACATGGCTATTATCTTGAATTAAGATACATGTTTACCTAACCACAATTTCTTTCTTTTTGAGCGCTGGCTGCACTATTTAAATCTCTACTATATTATTATAGTTTTCTCTGTGTTCTCTTTGGTTTGGTTTTCTACTTAATATCACTATTAGTTGTATATACTATAATTAATTATATTTGTATTTATTTTCACTGATTTGTATATTTTGTCATAGTTTTGTTTTATTGTTGGCTCGTCATATTTTTAAATAAAGGCTAAAAAATAAAAGTTTACCTAAATGGTATTTTTCTTCATGTAAAAGAAATCTAAAATTAAAAAACCATTTTCCTTATTTCTTAAGAATATCTACAAATATTTAAAAATAAGATTTTGGAATCCACTCTACTAATTGTTAAATTATACTTTTCTTTTATTCTGGAAATAACCATCTATGTAAATCTGTTTTATGTATTTCTTTCAAATAGTTTTATACTTCCACTGGTCATAGATGCCTTGACAAATATCAATTTTTCGTATTAACGACGTCAAATGACAAATTATACTTTGTTTAAAGAAAAAATATACTGATTGTAGACTAAGACTGAAGTTTTCGTTTAAATAGTACAAATTATTAAAAACCTGTACTAGACACATCACTAGAATAAAATTGTAGCTTGACTATGTCGATAATTATAATATAATAATAATAACATTACGGAAATAGCTTTTAAAATAAAATAAAGTATTATATTGAGATGACTGAAGGTGAACGTCAATTTCGAGTTGTTGGTCAAAAGAACAACTCTTTCTCCAATGTCAGGTTAGTAACCTCTATGGTATTACAGTGTGGTAATTATTATTCAACCATTTTAAGGTTCTTATTAATTATCTCCATGAAGTATTATTACAAACTGTAATTAGATTTTGTTTGTGAACGACCAAAAATGTTTTTTTATAAATTGGTTGTATTATCAATTTTAAAAATAACTTACTATACAAGACATAAAATTATATAAATTTAGTGTTATTATAATTATATTTTCATTAATGGATCTAATGTTGGGTGAACTATTTGTTTTTATTTATGTTATCTCAATCTAGTGTTAACAGCCCAGGGGTTGGTTGGCAGCAATCTTCCATTTTTCACTCATTTATTTATACATACAATGTTATGTTATATAATACGGGGGTTTAGGTCATAATATAGTCCTCGATATCACATTTTCTAGTAGTTTGTCGTTATAAATGCGCTAACACATTATTCGATTTTTAAACTATGATTGTTTTAACTTTTATTTCTGTGTGCGTTTAATTGTAGTACAACAATTTATAAAATTAAAAACCGATAATGTGATTTCTAAACTTTAGTATTACATACAACTTTCTGATTTTTGTGATTTGATAATGTCGTCAAACTGTATACATTAAATGTATAAAATACAAATCGACTGTGCGATTATTTGGACTTACTAATTCCGACATTCACCTCTTATGAAAATCTAAAACCTGGGTTGTTTCTCATTAATTCAATTCTAGTCTACATGAAATACCTGTTTTATTTATTTATCTATACTAGATCAAGTGTTTAAATATTATACTCTTTAACCCACAGGGCGATAAATTATTAATTTTAATAAAATTGGCATTATCAGTTTTCATATTATAATACGTAGACTCTCAAACTAAATGCCAAAAAACGCTTCAACAATGTAGGTAGTTCTTTTCAGTTGCATGTTACCATCAGCGTGTGCGTGCGTGTTGAATGTCTTCTATGATGGCATATGCCTCCTGAGATTTTTGTTGGAACTCTATGGCACTTTGGCTGGTTATATATTTTGCTGACGCCGCGAGCAGGGGTTTCAGCTTGTGCCGTTATCTTGTTAATCTCTCTCTCTCTCTCTCTCTCTCTCTCTCTATAAGCATATGCTTAAATGCCACACGTGAAAGGTGGCTGTCCTAAAAGGACTTGGGCAAGCAAACTGGAATGCGTCGCACACATATAATTAGCTAGAACTCTCCTCACAACCCAAGCTCAGGCATCACCATTACGACAACCTCGGCGTAGAGTTAAATATTCTTTTTTTTTAATGAATGGATTGCAATAGCCGCTGTTAATGATCAATCGTTGTGGATCATGCGGACCTGAACTGTTATAGTTTGGAATTCAAATAAGAATACATTACCTGGAAACGTTACGATTCATAAATCAAAACAGTTAGTAAAACATGGTTTTTTATTAAATAATATCCGCAAATCTGATTTTAACTTTAGTTATACAATACAATATTTAACACAACATATTATTATAATTGTTCAAGTCGGGAATTCACCTTTTATTTGTAGATACAAGCATTTTTTTTTTAATTCGCGAATATGCAAAAGGAATAGTAGACTGATTTGTTGAGAGAAATCGGTTATAATATAAAAAACAAATACTTTTGGGAAAAAAGTTTAAGTTATAACTTATCAACTTTGAATTTATAAATCATGAATAATATATTACTATACAGTGGCGTATATAGGATATAATTTGGGGGGGGGGGTTGAACTTTTTTTAAAACTAATTTCAGATATATCCATGTTGTCATTAGTTTTAAACCATCTTCAGAGAATTAGTAACCATTCCACTGTCGCAACTATACTCAGTAGATTCATAAAGTACTTGTAGAGTTAGTCGCTGTAATGGGTTTTAAACGCTAACTAATGACACTATAGATAGATCCTAAAACTATCAAACTAATTTTTTACTAATTTATAGAAAACTTAATAGGTCTGGGTAATGTGAGTAGTACCATTGATTTAAAAATAACAGTGATACACTTTGTTTAAAGATATAAAGTTAACTTATGTTTAATGACTGTTAATGGTGTCATTGTTGTAACACTAATTATATAGATTTTATAGCTATTAATGAGATCTAAAACTAAACTGACGAATATTCCCATATATTTCGCTCAGCATTTAGTAAAAGTAGGTACAAAAAACTAGCAGACTTGATATATAATAGAATTTCATGAGAGTTTTGGTCATCTGCTTTGTTTTAGTGATGGGAATCCGGATTTTCACAAAAGAGACGCTATTTAAACCACTTAAAAATCGTATGAGTATTAAATATTTTTGCAATATAAAGCTGTGAACTTAGTTACTTAATATTTTTGATGAAAATGTAAAAATAAATAACCATACTAAAAAGATAAATTGCTTTTGGATTTGTTGAAATCCGAAAGCCATTTATAGTCAAAGATAATAGTTTTTTTTTTAATTTTCATCAAAAACATTTTACTTAGACACACTGTTTTATATTGTAATAGTATTTAAGATTTTTAAGTGGCTTTTAAGTAGCGATTTTTTTTTATTATAAAAATCCTGTTTTCGGATTCCCATCACTACTTTGTTTAAGCTTGTGGGTATTTCAGAAATAATTTTTTCAATTTGGATTAAAGACATAGCATTACACAACTACTCGAATGTTTTTTTAAAAAGCTATTTTTTTATAGTTGTGTAAATATATATATATATATATATTATACTTTTAAAATACAAACTGTGTGGATTATGCGTACATATATATTGCATAATTAGTTAAAATATTAAAATGAAATCTAATTTTTCTCTTGATTGCGGACTCGGCTTATTTGCATGACACTTCTATCTCATCCGTTCTTAATTTAATATTATGCACTTTTATGGGTACGTTCCTGGCTATCATACTAATTATAAACATATACCTACTGTCGTATAGAATAAATGCCAACACGTGTGTATATTGTGTTTCAAAATTCGAGTTATAACACTATACGTGAGTCCCCCTTTTCAATAAAACATCATAGTGATACGAAGCGTGACTATAATAAAAGGTATAACATAATATTTGTTTAATATTTTGATGTGTTCAAATAATACGTAGGGTATCGCACTTAATAACCGACGACAAGCGTCCAGTATAATATACAATATTCATAAAACTCATTCATGTTTGATTATACTTAGAGAATTATTTATTAGGCATTAGTTTTGATGTATACCATATTAATAACGTTGCAATAGCAAATCTATTTTTTTCACTTTATTTGCCCTTGATTATTAACCACCCCTATGTATATTAATTTTACATAGATTAAAAAATATATAGGTAACGTTGCAAAAACGATTGCTCCCACGTCGCTTTTCTGTTTTAATAATTTAATCAAGAGGTTACCTCAGGCGAACGCCTTCATGAATAAAATGCATTACATATTATATTTTCTAAGCTGCGTAAATTCATGTTTAATAAATAAAAAATAAACAATTCATTATTGGGTTATTCTTTTATGGGTACATGCTAATAATAACATATTATATTATATAACATGTATAATTCACTATAATATTATTACCCATATAGTAATGATTATTATTTATTACTCATACAAAGCAAAATATAAAGATATTTAATGTGTATATTTGTATGCATTTTATATATTTTTATTGACAGTACATTTTTTTATTTATTTTACAATTCAAACATGATTAAAAAATATTCTATTTTAAAATAATACGTACTTATAAATTTGTTCACCTTAACGATACCATATTATATTGTATCGCTATAATAACTTTATCGAGTACTTATTTATTATACTGTTAATCGCATCAACATGAATGGTGGCATGAACACACTTTTAGTGTGGATATTGTACTCGTATGTCCGTTATTTTAATTTGAAATTGAACCAGACCATAACCGATAACGTATAATCCAGAGTTATCCGGTTACGCAGGTCAGTGTCCGTCTGGCCATCATCGGTCGTTACGTGAGGTCAGTCATGGTACGCACGCACTCACGCATCATACCATCCCTGCCATCCCTATCAGCCTCGCTGCAGCCACAGACAACCCCTCTCTAAGGGCGGCGCCACCGTTGCCGTCGCAGTTCTAGTGTACATAAATTTATCGGTCTCCCCAGGGATACAATATTGCACTATTACCACCACCGTGCTTGCTACTGTATTATTACACTTCAAGCGGACGGCCGCAACCCTATACACCGATGCATTTATACTTGCATTGCATGCGTATGTCCGCGATAAGGCACGGAGAGTAGACCACTGGTGCCCGCATATATATATGACGTGTTTTATGTGCATTGATCGCACGAACACTCACGCAGGAAATAAAAATGTATCGGCCTATTGGACGCTTGAATCAATAACTTCATTTAAGGGATAAAAGGGGGAACGAGCTGTTCAATGCCCTCTGTGTATTATTAGATATCGGGGTAACAATGCGTATATGCATTTTATCGGCAAACTCTCTTGTAATTGCTCCCGACAGTGGTATACATGTATAAAATATATTGCATCACGCGATTTACATAAATATCTATATGTTTTAGTAGTTTAACTAAAAAAATAGTGTTGTTAAAATACAGCTGACGCCTTAGGAAATCTCGGTACAAATTTGGACAAATTTAAAATTAGACTCTACTAAGGTTTCTCAAAAATAATTAAAAATTAAAAAAACTAACAACTTAAAATAATTATATTTATTTAAAGGCTCATTTTATCTTGGTCTCTAAGGATTAATCGGTTTCGGCCTTAGGATTTAGCCTTGAGTCTATATACATTCTCACTTACAGAACTTTGAAATTAATACGAATATAACCTGAATCACCTCAACCCAAATAATAATTCGAGTTCAAAGCCCATTCATTAATAATTATTGTTTTCGTAATATTGGTTTCCGATCCCGACAAAACATAGTTGAACTTATCATCTTTCAAACGGTTATCAAACTATTGTTGTATGTCTACTCAAGTACCAACAATATTTGAAATACGAAAAAATATTTTATTATGGAATATTCTGTTTCTTCTTTAGATGAATAATGATAGTCTGGCAAAAAGGACTAACAATAAACGTTTCTCATAACTATCAATAAATGTATTGAGTAAGCCAAAAGTCATGCCGTGAAACTTTTATATAAATCGTGAAATCGTGAAAAAACTTCACGTAATTCAACTTTCAATTTATGACTTTTGGTCTATGCAACATGACTTTGGCTCATCCTATACATTATAGTACGATTTTGCAGAAAATTCGTTATACTTTGCTCATTAAATATAGATAGTACGTCGTCTTTTTAGTATACGATTTTACTATATTCTTAACGATTTTTTAGTATAAAGGTGCCTAAATTAGAACGTGTTATGACGTCAATTAATACGGTTTGAAAATGCGGTTTTATGTTGCTTAGTAATGTACCTAATGGAGGTAATGTTTGTATTAAAAAACGAGAAATGACGTCAAATCAATATTTAATAAGCAAACTAGCTGCACTACTTTGTTTAAAAATACTGAACACAGGTGTATGTTTATAAAGTATTCTAAATCGATAGTTTTTAATTTTATTTATTAATTAATTATTATCAATCGAAAGAAATATTATTTTATTATTACACATAAAAACTTCACCTTCGATAAACCTTAATTGTCTTAATAAAAATAAAAAATGTAATACTTGGTAGATAAAAAATAATAATTTTAACTTTGTATAACTCACTTATAAATACAAACTATTTGTTACAAAATTGTAACAAGTTTTTAACCCTCATTATAATACTACCGCTAACATGATAGACAAGGAAAAGTGAAAACAATAATACTTACTTAAAAAATATTACTAATGTTTTAGTTTTTGGATATAGTCGTTAAATTTTTTACAGGATGACTAATAAGTAATGTTTGTCACAAGACGCCCTAAAGACGAGTTTTAAAAGGTTGACTCATTTCTTCTGTTTAAATGACACATAGTGATAAAACTTAAAATTACGATGTGTATGTTTGTGTTGTAGCCCACAGGCATTAGGCTTGTATTAACACTTGTTATTACATTTATTAATAGTCTAACATAGTTAATGGTGGAAGTTCCTTCCTTAAAAATAAACGGTTTTTTTTATTTAAAAAATATATTTAAAACTAGATTTATTAAGAAAAATGTAATATGTTATTTATTTGATTGTTTAAATACTAAACTACATTTTACGTTAAATATACTGATTTCCATTTTGTTTTCTTCTGCATATTCTATCTTCATAATGATCTGTAATAAATCAAAATACATTAACTGTAATTTATCAAATTACAAATACTTTTGTAAATTGATTCTTGCTGTTAATCCATAGCACTACTTGGTTTAATAAGACATAACAGTTAAGTTCTAACTCTACGTGTTACCGAACAATTATTAATTCATAAAAATCGTCTTGTTGTTCTTATCTGTAATAATTAAATATTGGAGAGTTAAAAAACATCGAAACATCCTTATTGAGCGATTCTATTATTTATTTACTTAAGAAAACTAAAGACTAAAGTAGTTGATATTATTACTTTTCTATTTTTTTCAGGTACATCAGGTAGCAAACAGCATTGTCTATGGTGCAAACAAGCGTCTGACGAATTAACGCCAGTTTTACCGTCATCGTCTTCGTCACTAGTGTCGTCATTACCATCGACAGCCGGCGTCAACCGGCACCATCACCGGCGAAAGCATAGACCGCGTGGCCGGCGGCATTATGACAGCGCCGCTAGGTCTAGCCTGGACAAACAGCGGATAGAGGCGATAAAGGAACAGATACTTTCAAAACTAGGCATGACCGCTAAGCCAAACGTCACTAAGGCCCGGTCAACTAGATTTCTGGTTGAAGCTCTGGCCGTCGAACCGTTATCCGGGCTAACCGCTACCGATGCGGACACCGCGGCGGGCAATACACCTCTGCCTAGCACGCGATTGCCCGTATCATCCAGGGATGCTGACTCCGAACCCGACGACTTCTACGGTCGCACCAGGGAAATTATCGGATTCGCAGAACCGGGTACGTTTTGAAATATTTTCATAATCTAGTCATAATAAATGTTTAAAAGTGACGATAATATTGTGGTAGCCAAACTATGAAGTCGTTAGCTGTTACTCATGACGACATTTATAATTATGCTGTTGCCTCCAATCTGAATTATAATAATATTTTACCTAGTCGTAGACATTATTAATTAAGAATTTATCATTATACGTACTATTTTTTAGTACATTTTATATATTGCCTAATATTATACACGCCTATTAAAATGATTTAATAGGCGTATAGACACCTATTGATCGTTTTGTATGACAAAAAACCAACATCTAATCTCCATAATATGAAATACTTGAAATAATATGTAACTTAATAATTATATAAATAAATATTTATCTTAGTATCATAAAACAAAATCCTATTATTAAAGACAAACACATTATCTTTCACTTTTCGATATCAATTACCGTGTCATTTAACTTTATTTAAAAATATAATAGTTTTCATCTTCTCTTCTCGCACACTCAATATAATTTAGTATGTTTCTGGTGCATTTTATCAAATTTGATTTATTAGAATATCCACGTAATGGCATAGCCTCCCGGCTGAACAAGTCGGTGGCTTCAAAAGTTTTTGTGAGGTTAAGTATGTAATAAAAAAAAAAAATTATCAAATCAATCTAAAATACACACCTATTAACGACTTTGAATATTATAAAGAAGCGGTGATTTCATAAAATAAATTATCCTCTTGTAACATTCTAATATTTATTAGAGTTTATCAGTTAATTAGTTTGGAAACTATAAAGAGTAATGTATAGTTTATACATGACTTAAATATACTAAATTATTGCATCTCTACCCCTCTCCATCGAAATTTTCGACGATAAAAATAAAATGGCAGCGTAAAAGTCAGCCAATCAAATTTATTTATTTTATAAAAGTATTATGTATATATTTATAAAAAAAAAGCAATGATGTACCCTTACGCTGCCATTTTGTGAATTGATAATATAATAAAGTGGGGATATGCAATAACCTAGTATATTTAAGCCGTAGGTACAGATGCAGAAGTATCGTGGAATTCAAGTAAAATATTTTGTTAACGAACATGTTTTGGATCAGTGCATAAATGGGTCAAGTTAACTAGAACACGTTTTTGAAAATATTTAGTGGGTAAAAAAACACTAAAATAAAAGATTAAGTATAATATTATTCCTATCACTTGATTTATATTTGTAGGATTTTTAAATGGGCTATACAAACATAATAGATGTTAAACTACAGCTTTGTGTTGATTTATAAGTACAGTAAAGCATTGATATTCTTTTTTGTAAGTCAAGTGTATATTTATTGCCCTAAATTAGACCAATATTGCCGCGAACAGCTTAAAGCTTAGCCTTTTCTAACTCCATCAAGTTCTCGAAAAATATTAGCAATTGAATTTGTGTAAACTATAGTTACTTTAAAACCAACTTCTAGGAAAGATTGGAGGAGTTTGAAAGTTATAAACTCTCTGAATTGCAATATTTGCGCTAATGTTTTATGTAAATATTATTATACCGAAGACATTTTTTTTGATAATGACAACTTATTCTTAAATACTTAAATTTATATTACCAACATATAATACAATGATTACCTTAAAGTTATTTTTTATAACTATACATATATTCGGCAAATAATAATATAACAGTAGTTACAAAAAAAGTCAAGAGTACACACGTTAAGTGAGTATATTCGTTGTAGAAGATTGGCAAAGAGCCAAGAGATCTTACCATAACAAGGAAGACCTTCTCTACCTTCTCCAAACCAATATTTCGTGTATATATATGTATTTATGTACAGGTATACACATCAGCAGTGGCGCCGAACCATCCACTAACATCTTGGGGAAAAAAATATTTATCACCCACCCACCCATAAAGAACATGACATCAGACACTTCAGTAATACCACTGTAGATAATGACTAATCAAGCAATAATACTTTTATCTGGTTAAAACTTTTAAATACCATATCCACTTATATTGTTCATGTATTTAATGGCAATTTGTATGAGTAAATTGCATTCATATTTTTAAAATTTTATATTTTGTACTCTAAAGCCAGAATAGAATCTATTTTACTGTAAAACGTCCTAGCTTTAAATTCCAAAGTCAGAATCATAATAATAAGTACCGTATTTGATTTTTTGTACTATTACATATTATGCTATTTTATATTTTCGTTAAACCACTATATGAGCAGTTAAATGTTAACCAACTGTGGAGATAACAACTAATAAATAATCAGAAATCAATAGATTGCGCGTGTACGAGTAGATATTCTTGTTTTCAGCACTTAGCTGTAAGGCAACCAGTTCACGGATATTTAAATTTGTATTATTACTCCAGGCGCGCGATAATTTCGCTGAATATCTTCGGATTTAGTAGTTAGTACTGTTACATGGAAGATAGCGGCGTCGACCTGTCTTGGAGGTAAGCACGCTGAGTGAAAACGTTGATCGAGGACAAATGCGACTCCCTGCTGTCCGCAAATAAATTCATCGGGTAAATAATGCAGTTGCTATGGGCCGCGTCGTCTCGTTTCTAATTCATTGCAATGTGTCTCTGTCCGTTTTGGTACACCTGTCATTATTGGGTAGGTAACCCGTAACATTTACAAGAATATTTTTGTATAGAAATTAATTGCGCGTCCCAAAACTCTGACCGTGGTCGGCGATATGAATACTGAGCGAGAGAGACCGGCTGTAAAGTTCCCCAATTTTGAAAGAAGAAACGTTGTGTTGTGTTTGTTAGAATGATTAAATATATTATAAAAACAAAAATATGAATAAATTAAAAAAAAAAAAAGCGAAATTCCCAGGACAAATAGTCTACTCGGCAACTGAGTGAAATTTGGTCCCATTTCTGCCCTTTCCACTATGAAACTATTTTTCTCTTACTACGAGCAGTCTCTGCGGACTGCGGTGTACGTAGAAGACAATACAACACGACGACCTCGGCGAAAATGGCAGCAGTGGCGGTGGCGACATGTAGGATTAACAATAATGATACGGCCCTGAGAGTATTGGTTTAAAATAATTTTATTTAAATGCAGACCAGGCGCATATTATACGTACGTGGCGGTGAATACGGCACCCGCGCGATGCAAGCCAGACGGCTTGGGGGCAGAAATACCTATCAACCGCCGCTGCCTTATTTGAACTCGTTTATATAGAAGCACTAGAATAGTAGAGAAACCCTAGACCCAGATCGTTATGCCTGTAATTTATAGACATCGGTTCACGCCCAAATATTTATTGCATATTATTATATTCTATAATATTGTTACTATTATTATATATACTATCATTATCGTTTTGTTATTTTTATTTAAGTTAATTAAGTATTATATACGTATATTTTTATTATATTCTTTTTCGATACTACGGCTAATTGGGACACTGCGGTATGGGCAAGCCGAGGCATATATAATAAGTAGTGTTCATGACTGCCTGAATGTATAACCGTGGATGCGATGCAGTTAAATAACGTAATCCCGCCAGCGGATATCTTTATACCTACAGGATTAATGTACTTATAGAGCTCCGATACAGCCATTATGATATTATTAATATACGTTTATGTTACACGTGTACGTTGCAGTGTGATATTATTATGAGAACATACTGTGTATACACACTATACACGGTTCAAACGAGCCGGGTCCGCCGACAATTAATTGAGCTCCGACACGATTTACTGCAATATTTTATTGATTATGGCAAGTCCTCGATGAACTCGTTTTACCGAATTTATTTTCTTATATCGTTTGAACGTATTTACCGAACACACAAAGAGACCTTGTCCTAAACGATGGAGCGCGTAGGACGACGGGATAAGTAGCTAGATGTACTAACCCACCTCATGTCGGTGCATACACAGCATAAATGGACACAACGTCCCTCTGCAATGTATTTTTGCAAAGTCAAGCTCGAAATGAATAATGACCACGTCATCAGGGTGGTAATATTTTCTTATCTGTGTCAAGTAGTACGAACAAATATTTGAGTACGAGCTGAAGAACGGGATAAACTAAGTTATTCTAAATACCTAGTGCTATAATGATTTTTATAAATCTTGAGTTTTAGATTATGCACGTAGATAATACATTGAGGTAATGTGTCAATATGATTTGTGTAATAATATAATATGAAATGAGAAGTATAAATAATTGGTTTATGCTTAAATTAGACATTGTACGCAGAGGCGCCAAATCTGTAGTTTTATGACAAATGTGATACATAATCGTACAAATTAAAATAACATTATTATGTTATTATTATTATATTAGTGTTGCAATTTTCAAAATTTTTAACTGATTAAAAATTTATAGAAATTGAAGCAGTAGGTGATATATTTATATATGTTTTAATCTTTGGACTTTAGCGTTTCCGATAGTATGTATTACAAACCAATTAATACTTTTCTTAATTACTTATATTTTTTCGTTTTTAAATAAAAAACATACGTTCTCAATGCACACGGTTAATTGAATTAAATTTGGCTATGGTGTCGAAAGACAGTAACGTTATGCTCAAACGATTGGTTTTCTATTAATATGATAATGATTTTTTAATTTAAATAAGTTGTCTGGTCGTCTGGAGCGTGGGCTGAGATCTGAACTGGGAATAGATTTAACCGTCATTTACTGATTTGGGAGAGTCGTTTAACGCATTAAGTTTTATGCTCTCTTCATTTATTGCTTAATTAGCATATATTTTATTCAAATATTTAAAAGATACGCACAAATTTTAAAATCGTTTTTATTTAGTTACTTAACCCGGTAATAATTATTTTAAGAATTTTAGCCATAATATAAATATCAAATTATAATCTCTCTTATCGAGTTTTACGCATATTTGTCCTTAGCGTCAATAACAAACCCAGTTGTGGTTTTGGGAAATCAGCTGACCAACAGGTTTTTGAATAGCAGATACTTATTGCATGCTGGCCAGAATAAAAATACAGATTGCAA